AGGAAGGAGGACTACACATATGCTTTGCTGTAATGACTATATTCAGCTTAGGAAGAATAAGAGTACAAATATATTTAAGTCATGACATGGACAATTCTTTTCTCTTTTTTCTTAATTTTTGCTTTCCCAGGTTTTGTGAGTAACTAAATGGCTGATCCTACTAACTTCCCAGTGTGCTTACATCCTGTAACATGGGTATGGTAACACGACAAGCTGCTATTTGCCATTCATGAAAGATTCAGCTGCAGATCTGGTTGTCCAGCAGTTTTGTTGCTGCTTCTCTGACAGCAGAGTCGTTCTCTAAGCCACAAAATTAACTGAGATGTCCAATCAGCTCCTAAGGCAAGAGTATTTTCCGACGCATTACATGCAGCACAACTTAAAATCGAAGACTGGTGACAATCCAACACTAAATCAGTTAAAATATGCTGTCAGATCTATCACACGTTCTACAATTTAATTTGCCTTTTAAAGATTCAAGTGGAAGCTGCTAAAGACTGGACTTAGACAAACTGTGACCATCCTGTCCTGTGGAACAGATTGTTCAAATTTAGCCCAGCTTCTCAAAGCCAACAAATTATATTTATAATAATGTGGCATATAGGTGTCCATACATTTTTCTATAGATATATACACAAGTCAAAGCCAAACCAACAGCTCTTTGAGAAATTTTACGACACATTCGACAACTATTCTTTCCCAGCAGTGTGGCACTTGCCAAATTTCCCTAGGGAGGCCTAACAGAGTTCTGGAGTATTTTTCTGAAAGGCACAGTGGAAACTACAAAGTAAAAACACACAACTGTACACGAACACTGTTGCATTTATTTAAATTAACTTATTCATGGGCTGCAACAGCTTAGTGGTCAACAAACATTTATTGTATCCAGAAGTCTCTACGGAATTCTTGATCTGCCAGCAGTACTATACGCATTGTTTATAAAGTAATAACGGTGTCTCCTAAAAACACTCTAACATACTATCTTGTAAAAGCCTTTTAAAAATGAAAATGTATTTTTAAAAGCCCAGCCAGTTCAAACAAAAATTGCCCAATCTATTTTAGAATTGTTTTGCAAAAACATCCAAGCACAACCTTTAGCCAAGAGTGAATATAGAAACTGACTAAAAAGTGCTGAGGTGGGATTTTATAATAAAATTGTATTCTGAATGTCTTTTTCACAAAAAGAAAGCAACTCCTTTTTTTTTTTTTTTTTTTTTTTTTTTTACAACCTTCAAAAATATTTCAGATGCTGAAGGTTCTTTTTTAGAGATGCTATACCAAAACTAAAATTACGTCCTTGATGCACACACACCATGGTACACAACAGGTTGTGAAGCAAACTGCAGGAACCGATCCTTACCTGATGTTTTGTCTCCAATGTAACCAGCAATAGTTATTCCCAACCCCTGGGTATTTTTAGTGAGCTCAACATTGAATTTCTCTCCATCTTCACAGCTATCAACAGAACCATCAGCCTAACAAAAAAAAGGCATGATCAGAAAGGAAGCTTTTTGTTTCTTTAAAGATCCACTACATTCTTTGATGTCATTAACATGTAAAATTAGACACAAATGTAAAAAAATGAGTACCAACTTTGCTTCTGCTCTTACTTGGTATTCAGCACAGAAACTAGACATAGGTAACATTCCTCACTGTAAAGCAACGCAGATCATGTCCTCCCCGCCTCACTGCCCCTGGGATATTACCCTCTAACCTATAAAATCATTATTTGATGGCCAAAATGACTGGTGAAATTTTTTACAAATTGAACAATGAACCTATTTGCAGCGAGTTACACAAACCATGCTTAAACGTTAGAATATGTATCTTGGCTGCTCTTCTAGGACTTCCTCAGAACCAGCTTTAGACTGCTGTGTTATTTAAAAGAAGAAAAGTGATCAAAATTAAATTTTGTATTCAATTTTTTTAAATTCCTGTTCAATAACTATAGCTATTTTTTTTCTATGCGTGCCAAGTTTAAAACATAATAAAAGCTATTTCTACTAAGGCGATTTTGTTTCTGGTTTTTGACCTAAAAATTCTGTTTCAGAAAGTAGCAATTATACTTCCAGCTAATTAAATAATGACAGTCTCCACCAAAACCTACTACAGCCCTCCGACTTTTAACAACAAAAAATTCTGGGGGTAATGAAAGTACATTAATGTACTGTCAATGAAAGTACAATTCATATTAAAATCCCATTTCAACAATATCGCTTTCATATTAAAAGAAAAAAAATCAACTTATAAAACTTAATTTCAACTTTTTAAATATTTTTTTAAAATTTTTCACCTTTCAGCTGTCTAAAACAGACACTTACTAGCCACTTCCACAGCTGAAATGTATATGAGTACATACACCAGGCTTCCATTTCATTGTATTTATATGGACATCGGTATTTATGTACGTATTTAAAATGGGAATTCATAAATATAGTACAGATCTATCAAGATCTTCCTATACTCCTGTTTTACTCTGTCTCTCCTGTACGACAAATAGCAGATAACGCTTTTAAAGTGCCAATACAGCAACCAGGCACATACTAACTAAACTCAGTGTAACTACATCAGTATGTACGTGCCAAAAAAAGACGACTTCAGGAGAATTATGATGCTACTTGCCAAAAGAGAATCTGGCTTCAGTTCTTTATCTGAACAACTCTGCCCAAAACCATCATCTAATCGTAATAAATAAACTATGAAAAATATATTTCTACTGTTTTAACTACCTCTTTGCTTGATAGTATGGGATTATTTTGGCCACAGGTAACGCCACCAAAAAAACGCTGCAATTTCCATAACCTCATGATTTTTTACAGGATAGACATCTACAGAGGACACAAGAAGCACCCATTTTGGAACAACGCTCTCGCTAACAGCGTTAAGAGCATCATGAAATCTTCACCCACCCTGCATCTGCCAGGAAGAAACAGACAAATTAAGCTGTTTCTGTCATCACTTTCACTCCAGGCCCAAATTAATACGGCTTGCAGCACCATTAACTGATTGCTCCCTCCAAGAACAAGACCTGGTGCCGACAGAGGCAGTTTAAAAATAGCCTGTCTCCTGCCAGAATAGATGTACCAGGAACCAGGTACTGAAAAGGATGGAAATGTAGAGGAAGGTGGCAAAACCTTTGACTGTTCTAAAACAGTCAAAACACCACCAGGTTCTCGTGTCTCCAAATGCTGCACAGACAAGAAAGTACCAGTCTGTCTCTCCTCTTAGATGCTCAGAAGACTCCACGTTAAGATTTAACTTTCTTTGCCTTAGAGCCATAATAGAGGGGATGAACGTATGTTTGTTTTCCACAGATACCACTACAATGGACAGAGGCAAATTAATGGCAATAATGCAAAAATTGCCTTTTTTTTTTTTTTCTCCCCCCAGAGTGATCTATTTGAAATGTAATTTGTAACTGGGAAGAAAATGTCTAGAAAAACAACAGGAAAAAACATACCAACAAATTCTTGTAAGGCATAAATTCTACCTAGTTTTAGGCTCAAAAACAACGACCTTTTTCTTCTCTCATCCACTTACTCCATGTATTCACATTTAAATGTATCTGGTCATAACTACATATGACAAAACACCACTGTTCCTGGCTCTCATGAAACCAGGCTTTGCTGCAAACATGCAAATGACCTATTTTGTCAAGGTTTGAGCTGACAGGACACAATAATATTTACAGCATTTTTTAAGTGGCTGATGGTTGCAGAAGAGTAACGGTACAGAGAGTACCATCATCAGCAGGGGAGTAAGGGTAGCAGCTGGCTCACTTTTTCTGGGAGATGTCTAGCAAATGAGCAATGCCAGGTGATGTAGGAAAGAAGGAGCATCTGTGTGCTGGTTGGCACAGGGAGGAACTGCCTGACGGATGGCTGCAATGATATGGAAATAAAAAATGTTCCTGGACAGAAAAATGACAGGCGGACAGAGAAATGCTACAGAACCAGCTTGCTGTGTCCGAAGACTGCATGGCTTCAGTTGTTCCCAATGGATTACTGCACAGTTACATGCAACACAGAATCTGAAGTTATTCAGATCACAGTTATGGAAGTCCTAAGCCTTAATCCCAAAAGGCTTCAAGCATATAGCTCTTTGCATTGTGGACTCACGACATTTAAATTCTCCCAGACTGTCAGCTGAGAATACCACTACTGGGAAAGAAAAGCCTGGCTTTTGGCAACATAAGCACGAAAGATTAACAAATAGCAGATACGAATATCAAATTAATCAAATAGCAGTTAAACCAAAAGGAAGTTCGATGTAAGAGTTCGTCATGAATTAAGCATAATCACTCTTGCTTACCTGTTTGTCTGGTGTGGAGACGGGTACTGGTGTACCTGGAGGGACTGCTGGTGGAGGTGGCTCCTCAATAGGACCTCTTGCAATTACCAGTTTTACACGATTTCCACACTGCCTCAGAACTTGCGCCACCTGCTCACTGCTCATTCCAGCCAGGTCCGTATCTCCAATTTTCAAAATGTGGTCTCCACTACACAATCTCCCATGCTGGAATAAGAAGAAAAATGAAAAAAAATCTGTTAACAACCTGCTATTTCTCCCACATACCATACAATCAGAAAAAAACCACACAGCTTTAGTCACTTTTAAGACATATGAACCAAGCGACTTTTTTTTGGGTGCCAAGTCAATATCCTGGAAACATGCAGAAGAAAAGTAGGTCACCTAATGGCTCACTAATTTTACTAGAAATTTCCCCAGAAATACCCAAGACATCTTTTTTTCAAGCAGTCAGTTACCTGGGCACAGAAAAAAAAGGTACTTAGTTATGGTTACTACCTATAACTAGATTAGAGAACTTCAGGTTTCATTTCCAAGCACGCTTCTAATAACTACAAAATAAAATACATTTCTCCCTTAGTGCGATCCAGTTATTTATATTGCTTTACACTGTGCCATGGTTTAGCCCGGCCGGCAACTAACACCACCCCCAAGGGATGGGGAAGAGAATTAAAGGGGAAAAGGGAAAGATACTTGTCCAAGGGACAAGCTTGAAATGGGCAGTGATCAGCAAACTCAATTCTCATGAGCCCTTCAAGCAGGGGCAGCACCCACATCCTGAAGAAAACACATGAAGCCACACGCCTGCTCCAAGCTTCGGTAAATCCAGCAGAGAGAAGCAGATGCTCCTCTTAGCTCTCCAGGCAGAGCTGTTCTCCCACCCCTGGACTACAACCAGCATATTCATGAAAGGATGAGGGCTCTAAACGCATTCGCATCAAACAAGTATAATCTAACAGGTTTGAAAGTGCGTGTTAGAGCCCAATCCAGCTTTTACATTCAAATGCACAGATCTCCTGCACTAAACACACCTTTACTGAGGATAAACTTCACCACTCTTTCTCTCCTTTTAACACTTATGAGGAAAAAAGCTACCATTACTTAGCATAATTATAAAAGTAAAGAGTAACTTCACGCTTTACTGAATGGTAAACAGAAGCGTAGGTCGAATTTACCTGATCAGCCACTCCTCCTGGGAGGATGGTTTTAACAATCACTCCAGTGGACTTTCCTCCCACTATCCCAAATCCCAAACCTGAGCCATCATTCACCAACTCAATGGTCTCCACGTGCTGCCAGTGAACCTAAAAGGAATAAACATCAGCTTGTATATGATTAAAATAAGGACACATGTATTAAAACTTGCAAAATGTTTTCTCTTATTTCTTGGGTGGGAGGAAGGCGGACAAATATGGAACCTTTCTAAGAACTACTTTTAGGTATAAGATTACATAATACTTAAGCAATAAACTCCCCATTCCATAACAGCTGGAATTTCTCAGGTAGAAACCAGAGCTGGGTAGTGGGTCAGCAACCCAGCAGCAACCTAGGACTGTCCACCTGCATGTCCCGTTGTAGTCAGTGAGAAAAATACTGCTGCTAGGAAATCTCACAAGACTGGAAATTAGAATCTGCAGATAAGTGCGCGTTCACACCAGCCATTCATTACAATATTATTACTATATTATAATTTACTTCAGAGATTAAGGCTGAATGACTGCTCTGAAAGACAGACAAGCGCTGGCTTGCTCTCGTGGGGCGGTACCGAAGGGACAACTGGAAGCTCCCAGTATCGTTTCTTCCAAAGAATGAACCACATCGCAAACTCATGTGGAATTTAAAACATTTGAAAGCGAGGGGAACACAAGGACTGAGAATGGCATCCATTAAAAAAAAAAAAGCTGTGCAAGTTTGAAAGGAATATTTTTTCAAGTAAGGGAAGTGGCTGTGAGAATACAGAGGCAATCATGCAGAGAAAGCAGTGTGTCACAGGAACACTGGAGGAGAGCAGGCTGGCAGGAAAAGCCAGGCCCATCAGCTTTATTCCTGCGTGCCCAAGAAAAGAGTAATTCTAAAATTTCTCCACTAAAAGTTTTACGTTAATGATTAAAATAAATACTAAAACAGCTGCTTCTTCCAGACTGACTGCTCCGTATACTTGTGATTATCGACTCCCCTAAAGAAGGGCCACAGATGACTGAACAGTGAGACTCACAGAAACCACAGACAGGCCGTTTCATCCCAGGACAAGCCACTGCACCAGGAAGACATCAGGAAGAGAGGCGCAGTCAGTATAACCACATTTCTGAGCTACGTTATCTAGATCTAGATGTGCCAAAAGCTTTCGAAAGAAAGGAAGCGCAGCAGAGTTGTTTTCTGGGGGTCCTAAAGCGTGTCCCCACACACAGGATTTTGATGGCTCTCTCTTGTTGCTTTACTTGAGCTGCACCGCTAATTGCCAAGAGAGAAAAAGAAGCACTCATCCAGCTGGTGGGGAATACCAGACTGCAAAACCTCAAAAACTTCTGTTTGCCTGTGCAGAATGGAAAGAGGAAAAAAAGGCACCGCCTACTGCCACCTCAAAATAAAGTTTCATAAAGTAAGGTAAACATGCTGTATTCACATTGATAGATACAGAGTTTGGCAGATGGGAAGATGGAATATGGCCAAGATCAGGTTCCACCCCCAGCACGCCTAAATGTTTTCTAGACTTTGGAAGAGAAAAGATACAACAAAGAAAAACTTCAATACCTGTGAAGGAAATGTACATACAAGTCACAAAAAAAAAGCCTCAAAATACTAGATGCAGTAAGCGCATACGTGCCCAGAACGGAACACACGGATGTTTGGGGTGTACTCACCGGGTTGGAATGGGCTGAAACTGTGCTAGCAGCAGATGGAGACCGGGAAACTACAGGACTGACAAGCTGAGGGAAAGTGCCCCTGGCCACAACTAGCTGGACATTATCTTTTGCTTTCTGTAGGATGCTGATGGCCTGTTGATGTGTAATTGTCTGATCAAGGGCTTGTCCATTAATAGCAAGGATTTGATCTGCCTCCTTCAGCTTTCCATCTCTGTCACGAATGCATAAACAGGGAAAGGGGATGACAAAATAAACAAACAAGAAAAACCAAAGAAGTGCTGCCACAGAAATCACTATATTTTGACAATTTTCCAGTGTTTTTAATAGCCTGTTCTTGACACCCCCCACTTTTTAATCTCTCCCTGGAGTTTTGCTGAAAGGAGCTGATGCAGCACACTGGTGATCGCTTCCTTTGAAGCTAATCCCACTGACACTCTCCCAGGGCTACAACCCTCTAGCTAGCTTTCTCCTCCCCGTACCCCCATCCGAGACTAAGCATATTAGATCTCAGTCACTCCCAACCATAGCCTGGGAACTTATGTTTATTCTTGACTTTGAGCCTCTTGCTTAACAGACCAAGTGCTCCACTTTGTTCAGTGTGCACATTCTGAATATTCATCAAACCGTGGTAGTTGAACTCTCTTTCACCAAGATGTTACAGGACCAAATTTTGTTTTGCACAAAACCAAGAAAAAAAAATAAAAATAATAAAAAAAAAAAGACATGGAGGCAGAGCTAGAAACAGAGAGAAAATGATAAAATATATCCCTTTCAAATGAGGGGGGAAAAAAGCCCTAAACACATTAAAAAATAACTCTTAACATTCTGACAAAGGAAGCACTACTGTAAAATAACACACTGAGCCCTTCCCCAGACCTACTTCAAAGGAAGCACATGAAGCCTACGCAGCTGAGTTACCCTCTGCCTCCTCCACCGCTTCTGTTGCTTCTGCAACAAACCAGCAAAAACTCTGAGCCTTGTCTTCAACATCCCAAAGTGGCAATGCTTTCAAAGCAACAGGCAGCAAGGAAAACAAGGACCCCAATCGAACCAGTTTTTGTGAGCACCTACAGAGTAGAAGCCAAGGTACTCAACAGCATTCAGGAAAAACACTATTCAGCTTCAACTCGCAATTTCAGTTGTGAATTTGAACTGGTTTTTGGAGTGCTCTCAGAGACTTCTTACTGCCAGGGCCCTTCTGGTTTATGAGCCCTGTAACAGCTGTTGAACGCTTCTCTTCTCGCCAGTTAATGGGGCAGCGCCTGGTTCAGTAAAGACAGGTCTCAACTCCATGGAATACGAGACGTAAAAGCAAAGACCTCTTGAAAGGGAAGGTGGAGGGGGGGAAAGAAAGTGGAATTCAGGCAGATTAAAAAATACTGTAAAGACATAGAGCACGCCACCTTTGGTAACTGAATTAACTTTGTGGGCCACTCTCTGCCCTCTGTGAAAAGGATAGTGTTTAGACCACAAATAATCAGAAAATTTCTCCCTACAGCACAGTGAGAAATAGCGCCGAGATGACTCAGCCACCCCACACGACATACAAAGTACACCACACATCAGCTCTGGCTGGGATCCCGATCAGCAAATCCACACAGAGTGATATCCCCCCCCAGCCTGCAGTGAACCTGTGCTGCTGCCATTCACCACTGAGCACGCTTGCTCCATCGGGCTGTTCTTGCAGCAGAAATCCATTCCTTTCAACACTACTTGTAGAATCAGGATTAAAGTCTAAAGCATACTTTCAGCAAGCTACTATTATTGCTGAGTTTCTGGTATCATCAGCTGGACTTCTCTTTTTAAGAGTCCAACACCTTGAAGTCAAGCACTGCTCAACTCATAAGCTGGGTCTTACACCTGCTCAGTGAGATCCTACCTAACAAACAACCCTGCTAGTTACAACCTATTTTTTTTCACCAGATTGTTTTTCAGTGCATTCAAGGACAGCAAAATCTGTATTTCAGCTTTACAAGCCAGGACACAGAAGAGTAATCTCCTCGTTCCCCCTGTTGGAAAGCAGATGTTACGAAGAAATTACAGAGAAACCACATCTGTAGCACCTAGAAATTCAGAACAGATCATACACTGCCCTGTTCTAATGTCACATACTTAAAGCTGCTATGATGTATGGCTTAGAATACAAGAGAAACGCCCCCTTGTACCACAAAAAAAACAGCAACAACACAACTAAACTCCAGTGTTGTGTTAACACTTGGTACAGTAAAACATCCCAGTAGTAATCTTACCTATGTGCCACACTTCCCTCCTGGATTTCTTGCACAAATATTCCTAGTTCTCCCCTGTTTTCACTCTTGAGTCCCACAACACTGAAGCCCAGACCACCACTTAAAGGTTTAATAAGCTCAATGGTCTCAACAAGACGACCCTGTTCAGTAGGAAAAAACGGGTAAAAATGTTAAAACTGTTGAAAAGCAGCATTAATGAACGCGGTGAACAACCTCGAAAGGAGTTTCTAGTTTGACAGCTACAGCTGGACAAGGCTACACTAGCTAATAACTGAAACGTAGTTGCTCAGTTGCAATTTCTCACTGTCATACAGAAAAGTGACAATTATGAAAGATTTGAGAAATCATTACAGTGTAGAAGATCATTACAGTGTAGAAGAGGAAATCAGGAAGCAACAGATAAATACACAGTTTAGGCTTAGTAGTAACTAAACTAGGATGTAAGTGCCTATAAAATTTTAGAGAGTACAGGCCAGCTCTCAAGCAGAAACTAGAAAAAGAATATGAATTTCATAAAGACGGAAAAAGTAGGACTGTGCAAAAGGCTCTGCAGAAAAAGCAGAATTCCCCTATCTGGCTCTATTACACGTTAATTAGAAAAATGGTGGAATACATTCCTGGCCATTCTCAGCTCCAGCCACCGAAGGGACTCGTAGGAAAGCAGTAAGATTACAGCACAAGGCATAGCAAGGCCAGAAAGGAATTTTCCATCATATTTCCAAGCAAGTCATAGAACTGGCTTTCATTACGTATGCATACAACAGAGCATCTCCCTGCACACAGAGCAGCAGTCCTACAACGAGCACAGAAAGATGATGGCATGCTGATTCCTGAGAAGCATGCTGCCCAGCCAAGGACAACAACACAGCAGTGAAGTGTCAAGGCTACTTTTCCAGCTGTTTTCTCATTTACCAATGGTTCTTCAAATTACAAGGTTATTTTTGCTTTATACAGCAAGCGAGCTCTGGTTTGCTTAATAACTCGTTTGCTTTTAAACAAACATACACATATTTTAATCTTCCAGACCAAGAGCGATCCACATTTTGTGGTTACCAGACGACACGCTTACCTGAGACATGTTTCTCATCAGCTGCTCGAAGTCATCACTAGAGGACTTCCCATTGGTCTGAGGAGTAATGGATCTCATTGATGCCTCCAGCACATTAGCTGGGCTGCCATTCTGTTGAGCCAACAAATATGACTCATTATGTGGCAAGGACCCCGCGTTCACACCATGATGGAGAAGCTGGGGGAATTCGCCAGTGGAATGTATGGAAGGTGTAATATTTGCCTGTAAAAGATTGATGGCAACATAGACTTACAGACATAGCAGAAACCTCCTATCAAAGAGCATTAGGATAGGCCAACTGCTTGCTAAAAGTATTTTAAATCCTAATTTGCAATTTTAAAAAGACATTTTTGAAATAATCTCGACTATTTATAGTCGCTGTGAATTATCAGCATAAACATGAAAGACATTGATGAAAATAATTTAAAATTCTTTTCCATACTCCATCTAGAATTCTTCTATTCATGTAAGCATAGCAGCTTGAAGTACTCCCATGCAATGGTAGAGGCAGACAAGTACAAACAAACTTCTTCTACAGTACCAGTATTTTCAAAAACAAATGTATCAATTATTTTACAAGACAACTAAAAAAAAAAAAAAAAAGTATATTTTGATGAGAGAAGAAAGACACCTCAGTGGCTACGTATGGAATGAATTTCACTGGTCAGGGTTTCTGCACCACTATGCACTACGGCTGCCAATATGACTCCTTGTATGAGCCAGAATTAAATACAAAATTACTGAACAAGTCTAAAATCACCAGGCTGATCCGAAAACCACAGTCGTACCTTTACTCAGGCAGTCTGGGCAATACACTTCTCTTAGAGCAGAAAAGAAAACAGGACAATTCTGCACTTTGCCCAGACATAGTATAGTAACTACATTCCAGTAAGCCTCTGCCCACCAATTTAATAAACAGCTGGTGAGAGGGGAACAGAGACACCACTTTATACGAATGTATAAAGCTCAGCTGAAGCAGGACACCTCACCTGGCTGTTGTCCCACACGCCTGTTGACTGTCAACAGGCACTGTTTTACTCCATATCGACCTGTTTTACACTTGCCTGGCACACTAATCACAATGCAGGACCACAATATTGCAGCCTCAAATACTTTTCACAGTTTTACAGTGCAAATTTCTTAGCATTATGCACCACAATTCAAAAGACTGGGATTCCCCTTCCTTGAAGCAACGAAAAATTTCGGAACTGTAAATGTATTCTAAAAAGTCTACAGAACCCTCTCAACTGTTTAAGCATGCTACTCCCATTAGGTTTATCACATCATCCTCCCAACAGTCAGGTCATGAAAAGGTCAGTATGATTTTCCATCACACAGATAATTTCCTCTTATCTGGGCGCTCCAGGAAAATACAATAGAACAAACATCATTTGTTGAGTATCTTATCTGCCTAGGAAGAACCTTGAGTTACAGAAAAAATACCACAAGACAGCACTGGAAAGAAAAGCCCTCGACAGCACTTTTGTCTGCTCTGCCATAAAAAACTGGAAAGAGGAAAACCAGGATGTTCAGAACTCAGTGATTTCCATCACACAGTGACAACGTTGTGTTGTCCATATTTGTGAGGAATCACTTGGGTTATGTTTCCAATAAATGGTTAACACCTAAAACGTGCACACATGCACTTTCTTTAATCACATACAGTCATTCCAGCAAGTCTGTAAGGTACAGGTAGATGAGCCTTGTTTCACAGTTCATTACACGTAACAACACCCAGAGACATAATCAGATTCTGCCCTTCTGTGAGTGCAAGACTTCCCCTTGCATCCATAGGCATGGATCTGAAACTAATAAAGACTATGCCATACGGCGTTTTCTATCCGCATGAGCCCATGCAAAGGGTTAATTCACCTCCACCTTCCCAATGTCATCCATTTCAATGTGAAAAAATAGATCATTGAACTTGGACAATTAATACAGAATCATAGAATGCTTTGGGTTGGAAGGGACCTCAAAGATCATCTAGTCCCGCCCCCCCTGCCATGGGCAGGGACACCCTCCACTGCACCAGGTTCCCCAAAGCCCCATCCAACCTGGCCTTGAACACTTCCAGGGATGGGGCAGTCACAACTTCTCTGGGCAACCTGTTTCAGTGCCTCACCACCCTCAGAGTGAAAAATTTCTTCCTTATATCCAATCTGAATCTGCCCTCTTTCAGTTTAAATCCGTTGCCCCTTGTCCTATCACTACACGCCCTTGTAAAAAGTCCCTCTCCAGCTTTCCTGTAGGCCCCCTTTAAGTACTGGAAGGCTGTGATAAGATCACCCCGGAGCCTTCTCTTCTCCAGGCTGAACAGCACCAGCTCTCTCATATCTCAATATGCTTCATTTCTTGTTCTTCTCCTGAACAAGGTCAAATTATTATTTGCAAGAG